TATGTGGATTTCTGGACTTGTTTTTAGTTAAATGAATTGGCTTGTCTTCAAAACATGAGTCCAGGATGGTCGATAATTAGAAGTCTCACAACTTACCTCAAAAATACTTTCATGTTCATTTTATTCGAATGTGTTCAATAATATTAACTTTACCTACCCATCTACTCTCCCCTGCAAAAGAAAATATACCCCCTCAAATCATGCCACGTCATTAAGGAACTATAAGACAAAATGACTTAACATTAGACATTTCCTTCTCATCAAAAGCTTGAATTCCAGCACAAAGCAAAACTGAGGACAAATATGGCACTGATAGAAGTGAAAATCATAAAGGCAGAAAAGGGAATTCAAAGCACTTCTTTGTTATACACATCAGAAATTAAGCGCTTATTTAGAGCCCCATTCCTAGCTTTTGAAATTGCCCATCAGTTGATTTATTTAATGATAGGCCACAAATACATACTCAAGTTGGTAATGTTAATAACATAGGAAAGGATTTGGATCTGAGTTAACGACCGCTTTGAGTCTTGATGGTAAACATCAAAAGGAACCTGTGAGAATGAAATTTGTATTTGTAAGGGAGAGGCAAGCACTTTGGCATTTGGAGTAAGTATATAGATTCAGCTATAATCGTGCTTCCGACATTAGCAAGTCAGACGCACACCTTGTTATTTCTCTAATGAGTCACCCTCCGAGCCCTGCCCTTCCCCAGCTGAACCCCAGGGAGCAACAGGGGGTTGACCTTTGGGAGTGCTCATCTGCCCTTTGCTGTCAGACACACCAAAACACAGACTCTAAATGATGATTTGGAATAATAAATTATTCTCTTACATTTACCTCCAGTGATGTAGATAACTGAGAGGAGAGTGAGTTCCCCTGGGACTCGCAGATTTGGGAGTGAAGGCGAGCTAGGAATTACTGACTGACGCAAGAGTATTAAAGTACTTTCAAGCCAGCATTCTTTTTCTGGCTGCCACTCATCAGTCCAATGACCTTCGGCAAGACACGAACTCAAAACATTGCTTTCTCTATGAGATCGATCTAACATCTGCTCATTTTCTCTCAAAGGATTGGTCTTAAAAGTCCTTTAAACAGTTTATGTAAAAAATATATGAACATATTATAATTGCTATTAACAAATTATTTGAAGAAATTCATTTCTTATATTATCTTTAGGGTCAAAGGATTGGTCTTAAAAGTCTTTTAAACAGTTTATGTAAAAAATATATGAACATATTATAATTGCTATTAACAAATTATTTGAAGAAATTCA